CTTTGATGACTATATTAAAATCATTTTATTGTGACTGTGTCATCTAGTCTTAGCTTGAATATTTCTAGGAATAGGAAACTCATTCCATCCTCAAATAGCTCTTTTCCTTATAGGACAGGTTCTGTTATCATTTTTTCATGTGGAACTGTAGAGTATGTTTTTTGGTTATTCCCATAATGTTTGACTTTTGAGATTTACATGGAGTAAGTCAGTTATCTCTTCTATATGAAAGCAAGTTTTCTTTGCCAAGCTTACCACTCTCAGTCTTCTATGTCTCTTTACAATAACAGTAGATGAAAAAATTGAGGCTTACAGAGGTACTTTCACTGTCACTTCTGCAACTAATAAGTAAACACCAAATCAGATTTTTAAAAAAATCTTTATTGTTGAGATTATTGCAGATATCCCTCTTTTCCCCCCTGTGCTCCCCTTCACCTGGTTCCCACCCCACCCCAGGCCCTCGCCACCATATTGTCTGTGTCCATAGGTAATGCACATATGCATATAAGATCTTTGTCTCATCTCTTCCCCCAACCCCTCACACCCTCTTCCTTCTGAGAATAATCAGTCTGTTCCATTTCCATGCCCCTGATTCTATTTCATTCACCAATTTATTCTGTTCATCAGATTTTTTATTCATTTGATTTTTAGATTCAATTGTTGATAGATACGTATTTGTTACTACTTTGTTGTTCACATTTTTTATCTTTACCTTTTTCTTCTTCTTCCTCTTCTTGAAGAATACCCTTCAGCATTTCATTTAATACTGGTTTGGTGGTGATGAACTCCTTTAGATTTTTCTTGTCTGTTAAGCTCTTTATCTGACCTTCAATTCTAAATGATAACTTTGCTCGGTAATCTTGTTTGTAGGTTCTTGCTATTCATCTCTTTGAATATTTCTTGCCACTCTCTTCTGGCCTGCATAGTTTCTGTTGAGAAATCAGCTGACAGTTGTATGGGCACTCCATTGTAGGTAATTAACTGCTTTTCTCTTGCTGCTTTTAAGATTCTCTTTGTCTTTTGCTCTTGGCATTTTAATTATGATGTGTCTTGGTGTGGTCCTCTTTGGGTTCTTCTTGTTTGGGGTTCTCTGTGCTTCCTGGACTTGTAAGTCTATGTCTTTCACCAGGTAGGGGAAGTTTTCTGTCATTATTTCTTCAAATAGGTTTTCAGTGTCTTGGTCTCTCTCTTCTTCTGGCACCCCCATAAATCAGATGTTGGTATGCTTGAAGTTGTCCCAGAGGCTCCTTACACTATCTTCATATTTTTGGATTCTTTTTTCTTTTTGCTCTTTTGGTTGGGTATTTTTTGCTTCCTCATATTTCAAATCATTGATTTGATTCTTGGGATCCTCTAGTCTACTGTTGAATCCCTGTATATTATTCTTTATTTCAATCAGTGTATGCTTAATTTCTGACTGGTCCTTTTTCATTTTTTGACATTCTCACTAAGATCCTTGAAAATCTCACTAAGTCCCTTGGAGATTTCTGGAAGATTCTTGAGTAACCTTATACCTGTGGTTTTGAACTCTATATCCAGTAGTTTGCTTCTTCCATTTCTTTCATTTGTTACATGTTTCTTTGTCTCCACATTTTGGCTGCTTCCCTGTGTTTGTTTCTATGTATTGGGTAGAGCTGCTATGTCTCCTTGAGTTGATAGAGTGGTCTTGTATAGTAAGTGTCCTAAAGGGCCCAGTGGCTCAGCCTCCTCAATCACCTGAGGTGGACACTCTAGGTGCATCCCTTTGTGGGCTGTGTGCACAGTTTTGTTGTAGTTGAGCCTTGATTGCTGTTGGTGTCACTGGGAGGAATTGACCTCCAGGCCAATTGGCTGTGGAGACCAGCTGTGACTACAGTGGGAGAGCTGCTGTGCAGGAGACACCCTTATGGAGCAGGTCTTGCTTCAGTGGGGCTTTGGTGTTCACTGAGTCTTCCCCTTGAGTGTGTCACTTATGGATGTGAAGAGTTGTAATCTGGTATGGTCTCACACTGACCACCAGGTACACTGGCTCTTGGGTCTCCAGGAAGGTGTAAAGTCAGCCACTGCCTGGGGCCACCCAGCAGGAGCTACAGTGAGATCTTCAGATTCCTCTTCTTTGTATCAGGTTTGGAAGTGCCCAGATCAGGCCCAGCAGTGAAGCAAGGGAGGCTGGTGCTGGTACTGGGTCTTGGGCCTTTTATTGATAGGTTTGGTACTCCCTGACCCAGCTGCAGCTTGTTTGACAAGTTTTTAGCCTGAACAAGGACAGGCCATTCATATGTAAAAGCCATTGCTCACAGCTTGGGCGGGGTCTCAGGAAATCACCAGGGCTGAGCAAACAGAAATGGCTGCCAGTCAGCCCTGCAACTGGGGAGGTTCCAGCAGGGAAACAATGAACCCTATGAGCACCTCTGTCTGGAAGAAAACTGCCCCTAAGTTTCTGCTCAGATGCTAGACAGTCCAGTTTCTCCTCATATGTGTCTGGGTCCCCCAGAGCTTTGCCTGGCACTGAGCTCAGAGGTAGCGGGAGCTTGTAAGTGCAGTTTGTGGTGCATGCCTTTTAAGAGGAGCAGCTGGGTCTCCAGCAGCCTGTGTGTCACTCAGCCACAATCCGCACTGGTTTTTAAAAGCCTGTAGTTCTTACTGCCCGTAGGGACTTCTTTTCCCAGCTCTGGGACCCTGGGCTGGGCATCTGGTGTTGGCCTGGGACCCCTTGCTCCTCTGGGCAGCCTCCGCAGAGACAATCTCCCTCCCAATTAAAAAAGGGGCACACATGGGTGCCAGACCAGCCCGTTCCACACCTTCGCACCTCCTACCAGTCTCAGTGTGCTTTCTTCTTTATTTCTCTAGTTGTAGGACTTCCATTCAGCCAGTTTTCTGGTGGTTCTGGATGATGGTTGTTCTGTATTTTAGTTGTAATTTTGATGTGGTTGTGGGAGGCAGTGAGTACAGGGGTTTGCCTATGCCACCATCTTGGTTCTCCCCCACAAATCAGAATTTGAACTGAAGTCTGCTTAACTCCAACTCTTTACTCTGCTTCCCTTGACTGGCATAGAATGCAGTGTGGCTATGTAATCTTTTGTATTCTGGATGTTCTGGTTCCATTAATTTAGTCTAAAATTTAATTAATTTTTTTTGGTGGCAATATTATATTTGGCAGTATATCACTGGCTTATATGTTAAGCTTGTATTTAACTAAAATTTACAATTCTTAATAAGATCTTAAATATCTGAACTTCTGTCTGGTATGGCCTTTGCATATTATCTTATGTAATTAATTTTCAGTATAAATGCAGGACTTTGTGTTCATGTCCTTACCTACAAGTTGGGGATCCCATCCTACATTTCTGTGTTGCCAAGATAATTTTGAATGTTGAGCCTATCATCTATGATACTTACTCTTCCTTCAGATATATGACCATGTGCATCTTTGATAAGTATTCTCGCTTTGTGTTTATCGAGTCTTTGATACACTGTTGAACAGATGAAGTATAGATAAAAATCCATAAAGAATATCTGTTTCCCCCCAAACATTGTCATAATGCACTTTTCTAAAGTCTAGGAAGTATGTTTGCCCATGCTCATTGTTTTCTTTTCTTAGTATTATTAATATTAAGATAATATGGTCACTTTCTTTCAAGGTTTTGGTTGAATGAACCAAATATCTTATTTGCTTAAAGAACCAAATATTTCTACGGGTACCATCAACACGGGCATTCTTTTTGTTTGTTTGTTTCAAAGCCATTGGTGTCAGCAGTGAGCACTGGCAGAGCAGCTTTTTTTTTTTTTTTTAAAGCATTTTCTTCAAAATACTTTAGTTTGCTAGGTAAAACTTGAAAGTTTCTAGAGTTGTTATCCAAATTGCTATTGATAATATAATTTGTTTCTATGATAATCAGCTGAATTATATTTTAACTTATAAAAGTAAAACAAATAACTTTAGGTCATGAAAGCTTTCTGGTAATTGTGACACATTCTAGAAGAATGTTTATTTTTGAGGAAGGCTATTTTCTGAAGAATACTTTTACTTTGAGTGTAAATCACACTGTATAAAAAGCAACCTATCACTAATGGAAAAATAACTGTGAAATAGAAAGATCTGAAAAGTTACTCTAGCCCTGCTCTTGCTTTCTTTAGTGACTCACAAAATACTTCTAAATTGAAAGGACAATTACTGAGTCAGAATGTATCCAGAGGTACATGAAAAAAATATCAGGAGAAATTCTGAGTAGCTTACCCACAGAATGGCAGCTCTAGTTTGAACTGAGTAGGCTGGCTGGGAGGTAAGCTTGAAAACAGGCCAAGAATCCTGAATACACATGCTGGAGCTATCACTTGGTCCTATGGCATGAGATAGAGGAAATGACCTTCATAGTCACTAGTATTCAGACAAAGTTGTATTATTTTTTTTCCCATGGAGAGTGCTAAAAGGTGTTAAGAAAAGGCTCCGTGAGGTAAATAAATACTAGAGGTGAGCTTAGAAGAGGAATGGAGGAGTGAGAATCTTAAGTGAGGTTAGAGAGAGAGAAGAAACAAAAACATCTTCCAAGAATTTGGAAATGACCAGAGAAACTTGCAGGATGTATCATGAAGTTGGAGACCCTCAGGTTTATTAATTTTGAATTTCTTAATTCCGATGAAAATAGTGGTAGTTTATAAATTGTAATTTTGGATAAAACAGGACTGTAATATGTGTATGATTTTTGTTTTATTGATTTGTTTATTTATTTTTTAACTGTATTTTTATTGATTTCAGTGAGGAAGGGAGAGGGAAAGAGATAGAAACATCAATGATGAGAGAGAATCATTGATTGGTTGCCTCCGGCACACCCCCTACTGGGGATCGAGCCTGCTACCCGGGCATGTACCCTTGACAGGAATCGAACCTGGGACCCTTCAGTCCTCAGGCCAACGCTCTATCCACTCAGCCAAGCCAGCCAGGGCTATTTGTTTATTTTTAATTTTTTTGTCTTTCATTTGTGCTGCCTGTCCCCCCACCCCCTTTTTTTTTCTTTCTGTAGACATTGTTCGGAGTGATGTTGCCTTGGATAAACAGAAAGGCTGCAAGATTGCCCAGCACCCTGATGTTATGCTGGAGCTTCAGCGGGAGAAGGCAGCTCAGATGCATCTGGTTCTTCTAAAGGAGCAATTCTCCAATACTTACAGTAATCTCATATTAACAGGTAAGGCTATTGGAGCCGGCTGGAATCTTAGAGCACTGTAGATTGATGGCCTCCATCAGTTAGTAACTTGATGCTTGGGAGACACTAAAGTGGGATCCAGATGAGCCCACATCTGTCTGTCTTTACTCACTATATCCCTTTTTAAATTGTGATGACTCTTGTCTTCCTATAAAAAACATTTCTTGTAGTTTGCAGATGTATTTTGGCTTGAGGTTATGGGCGATTCAGCATGTGTGTTCTTAAAAGACAGAACCAATGAAAACCTAATGAAGCCTTATAAAAATATTACTTTTTAGATGTGTGCCAGTAGATTTGAGAGAATTACTAAATTTGGTGTCTAAGAAGCAGCTATTTTCCTTTTTCTGTGTATGTCCTTTCTATGAACCCAGTGAATATAAAGATGAAATGCAAAAGAGATAATGATGCACATGCAGAGCTGAGAATGTTCTGTTCGTGGTGGAGTTTGAAAATATCTGGGGAATTTGATTTTCTTTTTAAGAGCAAAGAGGCTATGAGACTGAGTGATACTCCCTTACATCCTTGGTTCTAGAGGGGAAGTGAATATGTGTGAGAGCTCAAAGGAAAAACAACTTTTTGCAGGGTTGCCTGCAAACTTTGCTGGTAAAGAGCATGAGAATTGCACGTCTTTGTCAAACTTTGGAAAATATTCTAATAGCAGGCCCTGCCCTGGTAGCTCAGTTGGTTAGAGTGTTGTCCCAATACACTAAGGTTGTGGGTTCAATCCCCAGTCAGTGCACATACAAGAATCAACCAATGAAAGCGTAAATAAATGAAACAATAATTGGTGTTTCTCTATCTCTCTTTCTAAAAAATCAATAATAAAAAGTTTCTAATAACATTCACTAATGTGAGAATCATGAAGGACTTGAGACGAACTAATAAGAGCAGCTCAAGTTACCTTCATTTTCTTGAGGGCATGCAAGGCAGATAGATCTGCATTATGTTTATTCAAATAAAATTTAACAAATCAAAAGTGTATTTTCCCTTGTTTATTAATATTTAAAAAATAAAAAGATGGATTGGATTGTCTGACAGGCTCTGAACATCTCACACTTATTTTTGTAAAGTCTAAGTTAGGAAAATTTTAACTTTTTTTTTTTTTACAGGCTTCCTGGCATTTTACCAGGAATTGCTGAGTGGCAACCAAATTGTTTTGCTTTGTAAAAAGCACAAGTCTTTTTCAACTTTCCATTTTGTACCTGGTGGAAAACTCAATAGCATGAGATAAAAACCAGATTTAAATGTGGCTTTGGTGAGCAGAGAAGAGGATAATGGATTTCATAATATAGGCCCTGTTTTTTGCTCTTTGATAGGTCATTAAAGAAGGAAAACTTAAAAGTGATTTATAGCCAATGATGCATTTCCCTAAATTGGTTAGTGAAACTGTGTTTAGATGTTTGGGAAGATTTCTCTCTAGATTTATTCAGTCTACCTCAGATGTACAAATGTGCATGTATTTAATGTTTTTCAATTCTGTTATTGGACATGGGATATTTTTATTCTATCCTTATTTGAATATTTTAAGCACATATTGGAGAGGTCAGACCCCATGTTCTTTAATGTGGCATAGAAAGGACTTAGGGTAATTCTAACCCTAAACTGTGGATCCAGAATGTGGCTCAAAGGCATATTATCTTTGAACACACACAAGTGTTCTATTGAGTTCAATGGAATCTTTTCTAATTCTCAGTAACATAATCTTTTTCGATGTTTATTCACAGTTCAAACTGTTGGAATCAACATTGTCAACTTTTACCCTGACAACTTGCTTACTTTCCACTAAACAAACTTACCCTAGTGAAGAGCCTCTTTCCTGCTCTTACTTCTCCCAAGCTACTTCAAAGAGTCCTTAGGCATTTTCCACATTTTTCACCCAATGTCTGTGCAGAGGTGGTACCTTGCTACAGACAGAGCATTTGGTGTGCCCCGGTATGTTTACATGAAAGTTTAAAAGGTTTTGGTTCCAGGTGTTGGGAAGAGATGGAGTCATTTCAATTTAGCACCAATGGTAAAACTATTTTAGTGTCCTTTAAGTCTTTGATTTTACACAGAGTGGTTTTCTAATTGTTATGAAGTTTAATCCTTGATTTCTTATATAAATTTTGAGAACATGGTCTCCAGACAGCTAAACATAATATTTAAACATAACTAAACTAACTTTTGTAAATATTTCCCTTTTTAGTGATGAATGTATATTGGTAAGGAGGGTGAGGTTGAAGGGGCAGAGACCTCTCAGATGAAGTGACTTTCTTTACCAACATGTTCAGAACACCTACTCTTGGAGCTCTGCTTGGTGATGTCCGCTTATTTTGTGTAACTCTGGCATAATGTTTGAGTATTTATGTGGGAACAGGATAAGGAAGCTGGGCCTCCAAAATCTCAGGAAGAGATAACTTTTTCATACCTCTGCCCTCCCCTCAATACCTCTCCCAGTTATTTAAAGAATTTCATGTATATGGGTAGCAGTGTGTCATAATTGTTTCCTGTTAAGTTAATGATATTTATTTTTAAATTGGAGAACTAAGATCACAGTATAAGAAAAATATTAATAAAGTGATTGAAATGTCACTATGGTAAGAAATTAATAAAGTTATTGAAATGTCAGATAAAAGCACGTTAAAAATATTGGTTGTTGCCCTCTGCATCACAAGCAAGCCCTCATTCTTAAATGTTTTGTCTTTATTTGGTATGACTAATAGCATTGAGGTGAGAGGCATGCTTTCATGTTCTTCATTTCAGCTCATGATTTCTCTTAAGCAGACACCCCTAAGATGAGGGTAAATGATATTTTAGTTTTGATGATATTTTGACCATTTAATAAAAGGAAACAACTCTACATTTCTAGCAACTACCCAGTTAATGGAAACTAATAATAATTCTTTAATGCATACATCTTATTGAAGTATTCCTCATTATATCATAATTTTAGGAAGGTAGATATTTTTACATGATTCTAAGCATGTCTTAATATTTTAATGTAAATTATTTACATGGTATTGGAAATAATGTTAGCCTCATCTAAAATAGAGGGTTTAAAGTAAACCTTAAGGTTACAGGAAGGTGAAGGAGTACTTCCAAAAGAACATCTGTGATAGAAATATTTTAAATGGTGATGAGTCATATACTACACTTATTACACTAACTCACCAACACCTCTGATTGTGTACTCATCTTGTGCTTCTTGAGTCTGAGAGTGTTAAATGTCACTCTTTAAAGAACAGGGATCATGTCTTTCATTTCTTTGTGTTCTCATGATTTTTTTTTTTATCCTCACCAGAGGACATGCTCATTGATTTTAGAGAGAGAGGAAGGGGGAGGAAGGGAGAGAAACATTGATGTGAGAGAAGCATCAGTTGGTTGCCTCCTGTATGCACCCTGACCAGGATTAAAACTGCAACATTTCGGTGTATGAGATGATGTTCCAACCAACTGAGCCACACTGGCCAGGGCTCTCATGATTTTTTTATTGTATGTGCATGCTCTCAAGATTCTTAATCTAATAATAATGCTCTATAAATTTGTTTAAAATGTTCTGCTGTCTACATAAAGGATGAATTCACTTGAAGACTCTTTTTAAGGGATAATTTTAACATCAATTAAATAGCTTTTATAGGTTTAGATTCAGTTATTTGTCTTCCCTCACCTCACCCCCCTTTTGAGGTGTAAATTGAACTTTTGTGGAGGATTCCTATACTATAATCAAATGAAAAACAGAAAATAAAAGTTGAAAGTCAGCCTTTAAGGGCAATACATTTTCTAGGATTTTGTTTAGGACATAAACCCCTGGAAGGCAAGGAATAACTAGACAGCCCAAACCATGGCCATTATAAACCATGGCGTTACTCAAGATGCACATAGTACCCCGTTGTGGTCCATTCTTCTAACTTCAATTAAGAAAAAGGGCTCAAATCAGTGGAGTGAAAACTGTTCTTTCAGTTCCCACAAACCATAATGCTCAAAGTACTATTTCCAGATCTTTTAAATTATTTACATTATATTCTACAGTATTGAATAGAACATAATTTTATTTAATCATTTTCTTATTAAGTTCCATTAACTTCTATATATATTGACACATTTATTTCTGTGGAGTAGACATCTCAAAGTGGATGGCTGGATCAAAAGATATGTATTTTTAAATTTTATAAATTCAGGTTTATTGAGGTATAATTTACATGCCAAAAAATAAATTCTGAAAAATGTATAGTCTATATAGTCATATAACCACAACCACCATCAAGATATACAAGATTCTGTCACTCTAAAAAGTTCTCTACCAAGCTGTAAAACATAGAAGGAACCTTTACCTTTTGCAACAGCATGGATGGACCTGGAGATTATTATGCAAAATGAAATAAGCCAGTCAGAGAAAGACGAATACCAGGTGATCTCACTTATGTATGGAATCTAATGAACAAAATAAACTGACGAACAAAATAGAAACAGAGGCATGAATACATAGAACAGACTGACAGCTGTCAGAGGGGTTAGGAGAGGGGGGACTGGATGAAAGAAGATGAAGGAATTAGGCAAAGGACATATATGCATAGCCCATAGACACAGACAGCAGTGTAGTGATGAGCAGAGGGAAGTGGAGGTGGGGGGATAGATGGAGGTGGGTAAAGGCAGGGGCAGAAATGGGGATATCTGTAACAGGGTCACCAATAAAAAGAAAAAGAAAAAGAAAAAAAGTTCTCTTATTTCCCTGTGCAGTTAATCTCCTTTTCCTACCTCCAGTCCTTAGGTGTGTGTGATCTGATCTCTGACCCTAAATGTAATGTACACAAGTAGTTGTGTGTGTATGATTTCTTTCACTTAGCATATTTTTTGAGATTCATTCATCTTATTGCATATATCAATCAGCATTTCATTCCTTTTCGTTGCTGAGTAATGTTTTATGTTATGAATATCCTACAATTTATTCATCTGTTGATAGACATTTGGTTTATTTCTAGTTTTAGTGATTATGAATAAACCCA